ATAAAGAACTACATAGACTAGTTGTGTCTAAACTTTTCAGCCTGAGGGCCACATATATTATTTCAAAAAAGGTCTAAAAAGAGCAATCAAAGAACTGCTGACCTTAAGAGGTTAGAAATTATTCAGCCATGCCCTCCTCCCCCAAAAATCATATTATTGGCTTAATTAAGAGTTTTAAAAATAAAAATAATGGATTTTTTTTGTTTTTATATACTTTTATTTATCTTTTTTAAACCTTCATGTCATATTTAGGATACATTTTCAATCTTTCTTCTACAACCACATGAACTAGAAACTTTCATTTAAAAAAGGTAAGGTGAGATTCTCATATATTTTAATGACTTGAGGAGCTAGGGCTTTAAGAAAAACAACAATATATCACAAGACTTGTGTGATGAAGTGGGAATTTTTTGTAATATTTTTATGAATCCTATGCATGCCTGAGTTTCCCCCTATATTTTGCATTGCTACCCAGTGGGGGAAACAGCATTAAGTTAGCTTTCAGGGCAGGCTAAGAGACATAGATGTGTGTGTGTCACCTAGCTGTCTCAGTGGGCTGAATGGGTCATTAAAAAGGCCTGGCTGAGGCCAACTCATATCAATGGAAAACATGAGAAGACAATGGAAAGCCCAATCACCAGGACACTGAAATCTAGCAACCAATTACCCAAAGGGAGGAGGGAAGCAGAGCAGAGACCCCAGCTTGAGAACAAAGGACTGAGACATGTGATGAGGGGGGATAAGAGTTGACTTCTGGAAGAAGCTGGGAGCTCACTCACCTGGGAACTAAGGAGGGAAGTCAGAGAGACAGGCTGAGAGCCTGAAAATGGAATTCACTACAGCTTGGCTGGTGAACTGCTCTGGAATGACCAGAATGGTCTATGCTTTAACTTTCAGCTCTCTATGCTAACCTAAGGACTTCCTGTGCATAGAGATGGCATAAATGGTTCCTCCATTTCCCTCCCGACAGCTCCGGGTGCAGAGGGTGTCTAGCAGTATGTAGGCGGAATAGCTGGAGCATGTTGTGCTATGGCTATTACTTTGGAGACTATATACCATGTTGGCACACGTTAGAGCAGCTCATAGGTTGCTCTAACCTAGACTATGACAGAGAATCAGAGAACCATAACTGGTTGCACTGGTTTCTCTTCTCATGGCTGCACCCTGGGTTGCTGTGTGTAGGAAGAGAGCCATCCTTTGTCAGATACTGCCCTAGACTCTGGCAGAGACAGTCAAGCTCTTCTGCTCTTCCTACGGCTTACACAGACTGTCAGGGAAGCAGACACTACTCTCCTCTCTATCTTGGTGCTGCAGCAGGCCTTAAAGAGAGCTGTTGGGCAGCTGCAGTAGAGAAGGGACAGCAGCTGTCCAGCATTCTCCTAGCTCATATCAGAGTTGCTCTTGGGAAGGTAGGAGAAGTAATAAGAGGGCAGCTGAGAAGATGGGACTGATTCAAACACTTCAATTAAAAAATTTCATGGCACCACTCAGGGACCATAATTTGAATTCATAATCAAATATCAATTTTCTTCTCTATGCAGCCACTGGTGAGGGAGCTCTGGGACCTTCTTATCCCACAGGCTCCTAGAGCTTGGAAGACCACACAGCCAATGAAATAGCCCTGCAGCCAGAGCCCCATGAGTCTGAATTGGCTGGCATGGGCCAACTGCAGGTTTTTCTTTGTTGTGTAGACATATCCATAATTAAGATACTTAACTCCTCTTTTCCTCTAGATTCCTGTATGTTCTTGTATCCCCTAGATTAGAGAAGTAGAGAAATTTTCCTTCATCCCCATCCCTTCTCCTAGCTAAATCAGAGGGACACTCTCATAATTGTATCCTCCTTGATTCCTCTTTTGCTTTCTCCCCTCTCTTGGCTTCCATGACTCTGTGTCTTTATAGTCATCATGAAACTTCATTATTAGCTCCTTCATCATGACCTTTGGTGATTTCTTATCTTCACCTGTCTCACTCAGTTGTAAGCCTGAATGTTTTGTCTATATTTTCTCTCTCGGCAACATCTTCTGCCCCCATGGCATCACCTACTATTTTTATGCCAATGACCAACCTAATTCTCAACCACCAACATTACCACTCTCTCTAGGGGTAGAATGTCCTGCCTCATTCTCAACAAAACTGAACTCAACCTTCCTCCTAATCCTTCTTCACCACATCCCCTATCACCACTGATAAGACCACTATCTTTCTGTTCCCCAGGGTTGCAACATTAGTGTCATCGTTGACCCTTGTCCATACTACTTCCCCTAAAGGAAGTCTCCTAGTAAGTCCTCATGATTCTTCCTCTTTAATATCACCAAAAATATACCCACCCTCATTTCCATCCCCACTACTAATAGCCTTCGCCATAGCTTGATTAATTCTCTTACCTTGATTACTATAAGTTCTCCTTCCAGACTCTCAAAATACCACTACTAAAGTCATTTCCCCCTCCCATCACTAAGAACAAGTTATCCTTCTCCTTGAACACCTTTACTAGCTTCCAGTCTCTTACTCTATCAAATTAGAGTTCTGTCCTCACCATCAGAGTTGTACACAATCTTGCTTATGCCTACCTCTCTGTTTTGATTTCCTTTTATTCTTTTTTCTCACTCCTGTGCTACACTCATTCTTCTCCTCTGGGCTTCCAGCTGCCCTTACACTTGGAGCACTTTACCAAAACCTTTCCACGACGCATCCTCTCTTTTCTTCAAATTCTTCCAGAGAAACAGTTCTTCCATGAATGCTTTCTATCTTGCTCCCTTCACAAATAATTTCCACACAGGCGCCATTCCCTGAACTGCTGCCCAGAGTCTTGTCTTGATCAGACTGTAAGCATACTGGGGTAGGGAACATGTCTTATACTGTTTGTAAAGCAATGTATAAATTTCACAATGATGAATGAAAGATTATGAATAAACAAATGAGTCAATCAAACTACCCCTTTAAAATTAAAGAGTAAGCAACACAGTTTATTACATCAAGTAACATAGATTTTCAAACCTGGGTACCTTAACAGGATATCAAAATCTTGCATTTAGACATGAAGATCATCACTTAGGTGCAAGTAAATTGTCCTTGATATTTCTAAGTGTGGATAAAAAGAAGCCATTGAAAGATGTGGACATCTTATTAAGGAACTCAAGTTTGAAAATTGTGCTTCCCATATGTAGTACGGCAAGTAACATGAAGATACTTCTTGTAATTTCAACCAGCAGAGGGTTCAGTCACAGCTAGCATTTTTCCAAGTAATTCTGAGCAGTTCATCTTTTTCATTTAAAATTATGAGATCAAGAACACTAATTAACATGCAGTTCTCATTACTAGCTTTAAGAAAACACTAAGTTGTATGAAGGATATCTGTAGAGGTTTGGGGATTGTTTTTAATGTTCTGGACTAACAAGTATGTATCTTTTCTTAATAACTTTTCCTGAAAATGCTGGCTACAACTAGAGTACATGAAAATAAACCATAAGGAAAACTTGATTTTGTATACCAGGTCTTGGGACTATGTTTTGCAAATGTTTTCTGGTTACCATAGTAGCTTCTGAATTTTCTCTGTAAATGTGAAGTTAGTAATCATTTTTTTAAACTAGGTTACCAAGTCCTTTCCCCTTCCCGCAGTAAGCTCTCCCTTCTCAGAAATTTAATTCTGACAGTCAGGTAAAAACCCACGCACACACACACGCACACACACACAGGCACTCTTAAAATGGCCAGAGCATAATGTTTTACAGAAGCCAAAATATGTGATAAAAAAACTGCCCAAATATTTTGCTTTTCAGGTGCCAAAAAACTAGAACCCTTATTTGCCATTATTATGAAGACTGATCCTCCTATGTTTTTCAATGTTATAACGAATTCCAGAAAGAAGGTATTCTCACAGCTGTAGTCAAAAGTGTCAGCTTCTTGAATGAACACATTATGGATTTAAGTGTTCCTTTCTAAGTCTGTGGGTATGTACATATCAGTCAATGGGGGCCAAGGGCTACCTTGTATTTTTTTCATATATTTGAAAGGTTTCCTGATGTGAAACATGTTCTCACTATTTTTCTCCTCGCTAACTTACTGTGTACCTTTCTGACATTCTAAGATGTCTTTTCAGAACAGACCCCTTGAATAAATTATAACCTTCTAAGATGCAAATAGCTGTATTGAGCATGCTGCTAGGAAGCAGAGAAGACATCTCATAATTTCAGGGGTTGACAATGCCCTGCTAATATAATGTGCCTTTTATGTCTACATTTCGTTTTCAACTACTGAATACGAAAGAAAAACTGATGATTTCTGAGCTCAGAATGGCCACAATATATACACAAATATCTTATGCTACATGAATTTTGCAGAATCAATTAAAGCAACCTCATCTTAGCATATCTATTAATGTTCATTTTAAACATAGCATATACCAGTGTTTGTTTCTTTTCCCAAGTAATACACACCACACATGCATATTATTTGGGGAAAAAATACAGGGACTGTTAGCTGTTACTGTAACCACTTCAAATGCAAGCTGTTATGTCTGGAAGAAGTTTTAACAGTGCCATATAAAATGATGACTGTTCAGATCTTTTTATGTGCATACATGTGGGACACACATAATATCCAAAAGTCAGTCTATGTGCTTTTATTCAAAAAGGCTGCATTTATGTTTTAATTGCAATGATAAATTATTACATAGCTGACAACCAATCAGAGTCACATATTTACTGGACTGCGAGGTACCAACTGCACAGAGAAAGACAGTATTATGGTATTTCTGAAACAGTGAAACGAATAAATACTCTTTAGAAAAACAAAGTACAAACATTTGAAAGCTCTTCACAAAGTGAAAAACATAAATGCAGAAAATGGAAACATGCTTATTCCATTTTCACAATGGACATCTATTAAAAAAGAAGCCACCATTTCATGTCAGCCCCCTGCACTAGTTAAGCAGTTGTTATATGAGAATATTTATAACTATTTTAAGATAAAATTTGTACCAGTAAGCTTGATTCTTACCTCTGCAATCATCCTATTAGTGTCTCCCAAAAAAAGAAGGTTCAGTGCTTCCTCCTCGTTGGTTGCTTGCTGAAGAGACAGGTTTTTCAGATGAATGTTCTGATCAGGGTCTTCCATTATTGTCACTTTTCTACAAAAAAAAAAAAGGACAGAATAAGAGAATACTAGAGCTGATTGCAAGTGATCCTTGTTTTAATATTTTCATTAAGATTTCAAATAAAATAGTGGGTATTTGAACAGGCCTGGCACAGTAAAAATAAGCACTGAAGATTTGAAGTATTAAAACAATACTAACATTATAATAAATACCAAATAAGTACTTTTGATTCCCTGCCACCTCCTGACTTCTCATCCTTACTCTCGAGACTTTGATCTCCTTTAGATCATTCCTATCACAAATTAAACATGTTTATCTCACCATCTTTAGAAAAAACAAAACATCTTTTGACCCCAATTATCTCTACGACGGTGGTTCTCAACCGGTGGCCCAATCAGCACACAGCTGCAGCCCATGTGACATCCTCAGGGCCATACAGTTAGTATCTATATTGTGTGGATGCGGCCCACATAACACGGAGAGACCTGCATATGCAGCCCACAATGGTAAATAGGTTGAGAACCACTCCTTTATGACGACTGCCCTATTGACCTTCGTCCCCTCATTTTCAAAGCCATTGAATGCACCATCTCTTCCTAACCTATATTAGAACCATTCCAACCTGGTTTGTCCCCCACTCTCTTCTTCACTGGACACTGTTCTAATTAAAGTATTTAAAAAACATGTTGTGACAAAGTCTCAGGGCCTCTATTCTATCTTCGTTCTCCTGGACCTCTCTGCTGCTTTTGACACAATAGTATTCTCTGTCTCAACATCTTGTCCTTCCACAGCTTTTGTAACTCTGTCTTCTTCTGGTTCTCTGGTCGTTTCTTCAGTGTCTCTTTTGATAGATCCTCCTCCACCCCTCGCAGTAAAGACCCCAACAGAATTCCATCCTTGCCTCCTCTTCTACCTTTGCTCCCTTTGGCTGATCTTTCTGTGATTTGCTCACAAGGCATCAATTACAATATTTATGTAGATGATTCACAAATCTTTATTTATGTTCCTGATCTGACCCCATCAATTTGACCTCGTATCTCAACCTGTCTCTCTGACATTTCTTCCTGAATGTCTTGCCATCCGTTTAAACTAAACATGAATCCACAGTGAACTTTTGCTCTTACCTCCAAATTCCTCACCATCCCTACATTCTCTGTTGTTACCACTATATCACAATATCAGATCTCATTAGCCTGCGAGTAATCTTCCAAGCCCTTTCCCTTGACCAGGGCTTGAAATGGAAAGTAAAATGTAGTGGTACTCTAATCTCTTTCACTTGAAATGCTACTCACTATAGTTTGTTCAGATATTCAAAATATTATCACATGTGCTCTCCTGGATTCTGATAGTCTTCTCAGGATTGTCTCCCTATAAATGGAATTTGAGATGCCCAGAGGAAAGCTCAGATTATCGCATAGACACAATAAGCACATGATTAAGTCCCTGGCTCACAGAGTTACATGATGGCATCAAACTATCAGCTTTCATTTTTAAAATACATATATATTTCTAGCCTTCATGGTAGTGGAGAAAAGCTTAAAAGCTTGACTTACAGTGTTAACAATGTATGATGTTTGCCCAAATCTGTAGACAGTCTCCAGAAAAGTGAGCAGCAGCCAGAATAACCAGGGAGGAAGCTACCTAGCCCCATACTCACCACCACAGGAGCATAGGCCCCTGCTGATCTGGGAAAGGGAGGCAATATCTTGTTGGGATGGGAACGGGGCTTGGCTGTCCTACCGGGCTCTGCACAGTTGGCTTACCTTCAGTGGGACTCAAGATACTCCCTTGGGATATGCTCCTCCTTTGTTGCCTTTTGGTTTCAGGGATGAGATTAGAGAAAAAAGTGGTGAAACTCTCCCAAGTGCCATCCATTTGCCATCAAACTGAGACGCCATTCACAGCAGATTGTGCGGATCTTCATAATATAATCATTCCACTCTCTCTCTTTCTCTCTCTTTTTATTTTTTAATATGTTTTGATTAGCAATGTAATAGCTAATTTAAATTATCATCAGAGGGCATCTGAGTCACCACACCAGAGAAACGAATGGATCAGTTCATACTTCTCAGAGCTGTTGTTTCAGAGTGTCGACTGCACGCAGATCATATTTTGAAGATTTATTTTCATAATTATAATGCTGAGAGACTTAGGGCTTGTCTACATTAATATCTAATTCATGGCTAGTTGTGGAGAGAATTTACCCCACAATCGCCTGCTGCACACTATCTGTGTGGACCCTGCTGATACTCATTAACAATTCATTAGCATGCTTTGATCTAGTCCTGTTTCAAAGTGGACTAACTGTTCATGTGGACAAGCCCTTATTTATATTTTTAAATCAAAACAGATTATGCAGGAAAAATGCCAGAATCTAAAATTTAAAAAAAGAGTGTTAGCTTATTGACCTGGCCAAATTGGATCCCTGTCCTTGAACCACACATCAAGATCAAAAATTGTCCAAAAATGCTGCTCCATCCACCACAGCATTTCTGATATCCAATCTTTTCTTTCTATCAACATAGCTAAAACATGTCAAAGGTCCTTATCTCCAGTCTTGATTTCTATTACCTCCCCCTCTCTGGCTTCACTGATACCTTCATTCCCCTCTCTTAAATGTATTCAAAACACAGCTACTAAGATCAATTTCCTTCCTCATCTTTCTGATTGTGTTCCCTCTTCCCCTGTCCAACATCCTCCAAATCTTCCAACTCCTTTTCCATAACATCAAGCTCAATCTCTTGTCCTCTACTTCCAGGCTCTTCAGAATTCTCAGCAAGAAAGAGCAGATACATAAAGATGGTCAGTCACCTCTTACCTTCTGCACTCTACCAATAATACTGGCCTTGACCACCTACTTATTAATTTCTCCCATTACTATTTCCATATTTTATTCCATACTCCCCCCTACAAATGGAATAACCTACTTCAAACTGATCCGTAAGCCCTTTCTTTTTTCAAATTCCTTCAAATTCCACCTTTCCCTTGATTGCCTACAAGAAATTCACCAACTAATAATGGCTGGATTGAAAGGAAATCACATATAGTCAATGTGTACTTCAGAAAAAACACAGAAACAAAAAATATATATATAAAATTGTACATATTTTAATTGTATCCCTCTTCCCAAACTTCATAAGTTTTTTGTCAACTTAGACAGTTCTCTCCATCCCTAAGCAAGGAACCAATGCCTCATGTCATTCAAGAGACCACTTCAGGATGACACGACATCATAGTGGGCTCAGATGGAAGCGACATCCAAGCCCTCCTTAGCAAAAGGGCCACTTGCCACAATAAATAAAAGACATATTTATAGACAGTAGTAGTGGAATGGTTAGATGGCGCATGCCTCACCTAGAAATATTAGCAGACTTCCTTGTTGATTGTTTAATAGGGTTAAGAAGGATGCCAGGACAGTGCTGCCCACAAATCTCACACTGGCAAAGTCATGCCAAAATAACATTGACTGTCTGCAAGACTTATGTGATACGTACTGATTACATGGATACAGTCTGTTTCTATCTCTTTTTAAAAATATTCATATTAATATATCAAGTGCTATCACTCTATTGAAAATCTTCTCACAGAAAAGGAATTTATAAAAGTTATAATGATCAGGGAAGATTTTGTTTGTTTTTTGTGAGAGTGGGACAAGAGGATTGTCAGAAAAACCTGGAGGTGTTTGTTGGATGAACTTGGATCTTTTCACCATTATCATCATTATTTAAGCACAAACAATGTGCAATGTGCCATACAATAATGCTGAGTAAAAGCAAGTAGGCAGAATTCCAGCCTAGCATTCCCTTGAGAACTAGACTAGGAAAACAACTTACCTTCTGATGCTCAGTATTTCGGTTGGAAGGGATAATGAGACCCATGCCCTAGCATAAAGTGCAGTCACAAGCACATGTAAAAGGAGACACAAGATGCTTATTGTTGGAGCAGTAATAGCTGTACTCCAGAGTACACAGTGCAATCCTGTCCCACCCCTAGCTCTCCTGCCCTACCCCACTAAGATGTCTATGAGCCTGAATGGGGCCAGCACCTGGTGATGGCTATATCAACCCCATATTGGCGAAACAGGGTACCTTGTTTTGAAGGGCCCTGCGAGTAGGACTGGCCCAGTTCTCCTATCCTCCCCACTCTTGCTGCTAGGCGAAGCGGCTTCTTGGACTATCGCCTCTAGGCAGTGCTTCCCCTGATATTGTCGCTAGGGGAAGTGGCCCCTTTAACTCTCGCCAGTAGCATCACACCCCGGAGTATCGCCAGCTAACCCCTGACACACCTCTCATCACTCAGACACAGAGCTTAGACTCAATAGGCATAACTTTGTCCTTAGAAAGCAATGTTTTACTGATAAAATCAGATTACATTCTGTCCTCAGATACTCCCATGCAAGTCCTTGTATTGTACCATCTGAATCTAGAAAATGACAGACTGATCTGCAGTCTGTGACGTTATCTGATTAAACTATGACCATGCAGATCATTGTTGCTACCGCTGTTATATAATTGCAACAAATCTTGTACAAAATGTATCAAGTAAGGTGTTATAAAAAGGGTATGATTTGACGGTTATGATTATGCTATTTGTATGCATGTATCATTTTTGTATTTGAAATTATGAGTATTGGCTCTATACCTGGATTTCAAATGTTAGAAGGTATTTAGCCTGCACATCTTGAAGAGACTATTCAAATTAAGTGGCTCATCAAGGAACATTTAACTCACAATGGAAGACGCCCACCTACCCTGCATGGACTTTCCTGTGAACGTGCTGTTTGAGGTATAGGTAATGACTTCTACTGTGACTAAGTGGAATTATGCATGGACATGCGACTTGCCCATGTGACTCCAAACACCATCTTGTCACCTGTGATTTTCCACTAGTTATGCCCAGTGCTTAGTTTGAAACAATGGGTTTCCCTCCACATGGCAGAAGCTATAAAAGGCGCTGGAAACATCTCCATTTTGTCTCTTTCCTGCTCCAGCCTCTGGACTATGAACTTATACTAATAGGAGCATTCTAACCAA